GGTTGCTATGAGCTGTGATGCCACAGCACTCTACCCGGGGGGGACAGTTTGAGGCTCTTTCTCAAAAAAAAGAGAAGTTAATGCAATACCCTTCTATCATTCTATTTTCTCTCGTCCTTTTTTTTTTTTTTTAAAGAGACAGGGTCTCACTCTGTTGCCCAAAGTTTACTATTACCCCAAATCCTTAGATTCAAATGATCATCCTGCCTCTGCCCCCTGAGTAGTGGTGCTAAAAGTGCCTGCTATCATATCTGGCTAATTTTTAAATTTTTTTTGTAGAGACTATATTGCTGAAGCTGGTCTTAAACTCCTGGACTCAAGTGATCCTCTTGCCTCAGTCTCCCAAAGTGCTAGAATTACAGGCATGGCGTGTTTTGTTCTGTTTTCTACACAATTTTAATAAGGCTGGCCATCTAATTTCTAAACAGGCAACAGTGAAATTACAATAGGAGAATCTAGGACTCCCTTGGGTAAGAACAATGATAGTATGACAGTCTGAGATCATTCACATTCAGTGTAAAGGGATGATGAACTTTACACCTCAGTCCTCCAAAGGAAACCGATGTCTAATAGCACAATAACAAGTGCATATAACACAAGACCCTTCCATCATCAAAAGCAAGAATAGGCCAGCACAGTGGCTCATTCCTGTAATCCCCAGCACCCTGGGAGGCTGAGGCGGGCAGATTACCTGAGCTCACAAATTCAAGACCAATCTGAGCCAGAGTGAGACCACCCCACCACTACTACCACCATCCTGGTCTCTAAAAAATAGCCAGGCCTTGTGGCAGGAGCCTGTAGTCCCAGCTACTTGGGAGGCTGAGACAAAAGAATTGCTTGAGCCCAAGAGTTTTGAGGTTGCTGTGAGCTAAGATGCCATAACAATCTACTGGGGTAACAAAGTGAGACTCATAAAAAAAAAAAAAAAAAAAAAAAGCAAAAAACAAGTATTAGGTTGTGGTGGTAACTGTCTAACTCTGTAAATACACTAAAATGTAATAAATTGTATACCTAAAGCCAAAGGAAGAAAATAATCACTGTCATTAAGAAAGATGCCCACAGGGCGGCTCCTGTGGCTCAAAAGGGTAGGGCACCAGCCCCATATGCTGGAGGTGGTGAGTTCAAACCCAGCCCCAGCCAAAAACTGCAAAAAAAAAAAACAAAA